TGGCACAAAATGGTTCTGTTTCTAGCTGAATAACTCAAACAGATTTTCCGTGATTTTTACGACAAATGATGTCAAGATGGCTAAACGTCTTATCTGAAAACCTTGGGAAAAGAAACTCAGTTTAGTGGGGTTTTTAGATATTAAACGTTTGTGGGATGGACAATTATCCCACCCTTTTACACGAGGCAGGCCTTCAGTAATGGTACCAACATTTATACTCTGGCTTCCATATTCAAAGTCCCTTCAAGAACCACCAAGAGAACGGCGAATATGTTTTAAAAAAAAAACAGAGAGAGAGCAATAGAGAGGAAATCTGGAACAGAAGGTCACAACAAGAAGACGGATCATCATTTAAACTCAAAGGCAAATACATTCTTATTGTTCAAAGTAGACACCGATCGTGTGATAAAAACCTCGGAGAATTAGAGTAAGATATCTTTAAGTATTTGTAAGATACAACGTGACAAAGCTTAAATCTAACAATTGGACAATTTTACTGTTACACTCATAAGACACACCACATGGTGCAAATTAATTGAAACAAGAGGAATAATTCCGTTATTAACTACCTTTTTAGTATTTTTCCAATTAAAGATGACCCAGTGAACTTCTTAGTACTTCGTATGTCCATTCCACGACGTCGTTCCTTGCTGATTGACCACAGATTCTAGATAGGATTTAAATCAGGAGAGTTTCCCTACCCGTGTATAGTACTTTGATTTGCTCACTGTGTTCTTGCAGCGTTACAATTTTCGTACGCTTCCTTGGACCACCGTCCATCGCGCACAAATTTTTAGGACAACTAATCGATAGTAGAGACAATAGTGTCTGGCGTAATAAAAATCTGATGCAATCAACGAGGACGCAATATTTTTCAAGGTCAAACAAGTTTCATCATACACCCCGAAAATAGATTCATATTACTGCAGACCACTGCAAATGACCTAATGTGAGGAAAAATAGAAATTGATTCCACCCTGTCACTCAAGGGGCTTTAAAACTGACTTTATATTCAAAGAAATGAAACTATCATTATTATATCTCTCTTTATTAAGATGGATGTGAATACATCTATCTCTTTTCTTCTTTATCTCTTTTTTTTCATTTGGCGATATATATATATCTCCTTCAACCCATCCTGCCACCATTTTAAATCTGCCCCCCCCCCTCAGACACATGTGTGCATAAATTAAAAATAATAACACTGAATTCTTCTTTTACCTGGAAGATTTGTCACCCATTTATTTGTATGAAAATGAGGAATTAGAATCGAATTTCGATTCTAAGGAAATAAATTATAATCACCATGAACCTTTAACTGTCTGTTTCTTAACACACACACACACACACATACACACACACGTGTGTGTGTATGTGTGTGTGTGTGTGCGTTTGTGTGCACTATTAATTATGGTGGTATGGTTAGAAGTTGCTTAACAAGATATATATGAAAATAACGAAGAAAGAAAGATAGAGAAAATAAATGAAAGGAGAAGGAAAGCAAGAGCAGTCGAAAGAAGGAAAGAGAGACAAGATGAAAAGAAAAGAAAGAATATGGGTAAAGAACGAAAGAAATAGGAAAGAAAAGGAAAAAAGAAGAAAAAGAAAGAGAAGACAAAAAGAAAAGATGAAGGGAAAAGAAAGAAAGAAAGAAAGAAAGAAAGAAAGAAAGAAATAGAAAACGAAAGGAAAGAAGAAGGAAAGAAAGAACAGATGAAAAGAAAAAAAAGAAAAAAGGGAAAATGAAAGAGATGGGAAAGGAAATAAGAAGAAAAGAAAGAGAAGAAGAAAAGAACAGAAGGAAAAAGGGAAAAGAAGAAAAGAAATAGAAACCGAAAAGAAAGAAGAAGAAATGATGAAAAGAATAGAAAGAAGTGAAGAGAAGAACTTCAAGAAGAAACGAAAATGCGATAAATCCAAGAAAAAAAAAAAAAACGTGAAGAAAGAAGTAAAAAGATTGAAAAAGAATGAAGGAAATAGAATGAAAAAAGAGGAATTAAGAAAGAGAATAGCAGCAAGAAATGTCAATAAGTAAAAGGAAGAAGAAAATGAATGAGAAAAAAATTATTGAAGAATATTTAGTAAATTCGAGTTGATATATATATATATATATATATATATATATATATATATATATGAAGAAATATAGTCTTAAGGTGTGCTATATTTATTGGATAAAGTGCTCAATATCAGAGATAGAGCGTGTGTCAATATAAAAGTGAACATAGAAGTCAACACTTAGAGGCGACAGTCTGTTTCATGCTAGACGCAATCGTCAGGCCGCGTGACTATTGTCTAGCATGAAACAGACTGTCGCCACTAAATGTTGACTTCACTATATATATATATATATATATATATATATATATATATATATATATATATGTGTGTGTGTGTGTGTGTGTGTGTGTGTGTGTGTGTGTGAACATAGAAGTCTCTCATGCTAGATGCAACTTCAGGCCTGACGATTGCCTGACAGCATGAAACAGACTGTCGCCTCTAAGTGTTGACTTCTATGTTCACTTTTATATATATATATATATATATATATTCATTTCTGTAGTTTAATGCTACCAGCAAGCAGAAATATTTCTCCTCCCGATGATTGCTGTTTTGGCAGAAACTAGTCGATGAATCTAAATGAAATAATAATAAAAAAAACGAAAGAATATTAATCTGCAACCCAGTGTGTCTGAAGATTTTAATTTTTTAATATTTTTTATTGTTCAATATATATATATATATATATATATATATATATATATATATATATATATATGTGTGTGTGTGTGTGTGTGTGCGAGCGTGTGTGTGTGTGTGTGTGTATTTCTGTATATGTGTATTTATATATTTTTAAAAAATTTTTGGGGAAAAAAAAAATACTTACGTCTTTTATTAAAAAATTCCACTAATTTTTTCTATTAGAATTTTGTTATGCTTTCTTAAACTTTGAGTTGCTATTATTATTATTTACAATGTCAGTCAATTATGTGACACGCCTCGGGGATTTTGTTCTCTCCGCTGATGCCAGGGATTGAACTCACGACCCTTTGGGTCTAGTCACGTTCAGGATCATTTAACGCTTTTATACACCGGGCTAAACAGAGTTCGGTTTGGAATAAAAACAAATATCAACTGAATAAGGCCGGAGTGTACAACGGCCGAAATGTTGTGAATGTGACAATAAAGAAGAGGACAACAATGTAAGTACTGTAAAAAAACAAAACAAACAAAAAAACAGATTTCTGTTGCTTCAAGACTCTTCTCCATCTTATTTTCACTGCAATATAGAAGGACAGATATCACGTAACAGGTCAGTACCCTTTTCTTTGTTTCTAATCAGCAGAGTGCTTGGAAAGGCATAGGAAACCAGTCCTTAAGCAACCGAGACAACAAAAAAAAAAAAAGAAGAAAAAATGGAGAAATACGTAAAGAATATTAACAGGTTAGAGAAATATAAATGAAAATTTAAAGATTGCTTTGTTACTTAACAGGAAACGGAAGTGAACAAACGGAAGTATGAGCTATGATAATGATCTAAGGGTATGGCTATCGGCGGGGAATGGAGTCGACTTATCTACGGAGATATAAATGTGAATAATGTCAAATATCAGCTGTGATAAAGCAGTGAGCGCAAACTGGAGAAATCAGACGAACGGAAACGTGTAAGAGAAACGTCTGTGAAAGAAGGACTTTCTAGATGCCGTAAAAACAATAATAAGAACACATATTTTCTAGGACATTCAATTAAGACAAAGCGAATATATCAATATATATATATATATATATAGATAGATAGATAGATAGATAGATAGATAATTATATATTCGAAAATTATAACATAAATATGTTATAAAATCACTACAAACATAGCCATTCAACACCATCACTGGATAAGACACAAGAAGCGTTCAAAGCAACATGGCTATTTTGGAGTGATGTCATAACATGAATATGTTATAATTTTTGAATAAATCATAATTGGTCTACTCTGTATTGAGCACTCTTTTAAGAATAGAATTTTTGGTATATTAGAATTCATTCAGACTACACCAATCCTATACGTGTGTACACGCATACACGCATACACACACACATATATATATATATGACAATTCTGAATTCAAAACCAAGCAGATGGTCATTTGGGGACCTTATGGCACGCAGTGCACCAGGTCTCTGTATTCAGTCCTTCAAAATGTGTAGATGATTCCGCACAAAAACCTTCACCACTATCATTAAATCTCGCCATTTTGTTTCAACACTTCTGGTGTCTTTTCAAGAGATGGTGTTGAATGGCTATTTTTGTAGTGATTTTATAGCATATTTATGTCATAATTTTCGAATAAATAATTGTATTTGCTCTACTCTGTATTGAGCACTCTTTTTAAGAAATGTATTTGTTGGTTATTGGAATTTATTCTGTATACACCAATCCTATACTTGGATATATATATATATATATATATATATATATATATATATATATATATATATATATATAATTATTGATTAATTGGATTTTATTCTATTCTACACCAATCCTATACTTGGATATATATATATATATATATATATATATATATATATATATATATAATGGATTAAGTCTGATAATTATTTTAATTTATTTTATGTTTGTACGTTATATATATATATATATATATATATATATATATATATATATATATATATATATATATATATATATATATTTACGTTATTTCTATAGACAAAATATTTAAGTAAATTCTCTGTTTATAATAAACACTATCAACAACATTTACAGGCCTGAATGTCCGAGAATTTTCATAGAAAATATGTCCTCCGACAGGAATCGAACCTGAATCCTATACGGAAAGCGGAAGCTTCTGATTGGCAAGGTCAAATTCCTTTTTTTAAAAAAACAAATTTCTCATGATTTCTCTCGAACGCTCATGTCTGCTTCAAGTGTATCTTAACTTAAACAAATGACATCATATCTTATGAAATAGATTAAGTCAGACAATTATTTTAAGATATTTTTTGTTTATACGCCATTTTATAGATACAAATATTTAAGTAAATGCGCTGTTTATAATAAACGGTATTAACTAGCCTGAATGTCCGAGAAATGTAATAGAATATATGCGTCCTCCGATAGGAATCGAACCTGAACCGTTATATACAAAGACATGTAAATTAAATCGTACGTGAAACGTGTCAAGGACCTTGTTACTTACTCCAGGACAGAAAGCTAAAAATTTAGAGAGGGCGAAGGTCATCTTGAATAAGTAGGAAAATAATCCTGGAATAATATATATATATATATATATATATATATATATATATATAATCTTTATTTCAATCCCTCATGATCTTCCGATCCTCATCTATGATTAATTAATGATCAACATGTCATTTTCATTTATGATCAATTTCATCACGATGCATCTGTTAAGCTTAGATTGTAATTATACATTCTTATTGTTCAAAGTAGATTCCAACAATGTTATAAAATCCTCAGAGAATTCCAGTAAGATATCTTTAATCATTTCTAAGATACGACGGTTCAAAGCTTACTTTAGCCAATGGACATTTTTGCTTTTCACAATTTGAACAATTTTAGTATTACTCCAGCTAATATATAACGTGGACATCTAATGTAGACCTGTTTAACAGGTGTAATATTGGAGGAATCGAGACTTTTATCATACAGTCTCAGTTACGGTGGACTGGTCATGTCTCGAGAATGTCTGATGACAGGATACCCAAGATCCTAATGTACAGCCAGTTAGATCAGGGCTACAGGAATGTAGGACGCCCATGGCTAAGATACAAAGACAAGCTGAAAAGCAACTTGTCAGCAGTCAATATACCACATAACACCCTTGAGAACTTAGACTTGGAGCGGGTAGAACGGAGATCAACGTGTTTTAGTGGACTCAGCAATTTTCAATCTGCTTGTCTGAATCATCTTCAAGAAGCGAGAGCAAGATCTAAAAGATCAGCCAATCTAACAATGATCTCATCTCACAATCCTCACACTTGCTCCATATGTGTCCTCCTTTGTAAATCACTAGCGGGTCTTAAATGCCACCTAAGATTAGCGCACATAATTTCTTAACTGTATCAAGTAAGCTGTCAGATCCTCATACGTCGAAACCGACAGGAGAGTCCATTATATATATATATATATATATATATATATATAGAGAGAGAGAGAGAGAGATTGGTCCATCTTCTGGATTTCGAAGAATCGACTGAAAATTGAAGGTTGCGTTTCCTATCTCAATCCGTGCCAAATGGGTTTCTCTCTTCTTGAAGTCTTTTAGCATATATACAATTAGAACCATAACAATATTAATTCTTTACCAAAGACAGTATCGCTTTTTGTCTAACCTACTTTGCTAGGGATGTCGTGTTCGAAATTTTAGTAACACTAAAAAATTGAACACCATTTACAAATATGTTAAATAGTTTCAGCATCCTATAATTAAATTAAATTAAAATAAATTTTATTCAGATTTGTTTCTTTCATTACTGGATGCTTATTTGGTCAAAATGTTTGAAGAGTGAAAACTTTTATGATTGACCGCAGTTTTGTGGGCTCAAAATTATAAATAAATTATAAATTCAACTCAATGTAAATATATAAATAAAAATATATAAATATAAATAAATTACAAATTTCTAAATAAATTATCCGTTGCTATAAAACCCAAGTGAATCCTATTAATACAATACAAAATATTAAATATTAAAATTGATTCACACAAAGAGCTCAATGTTTTGTTTAAACAGAACATATTTTTTATACAGTAGGAATTAAGATTACATCAAGGTAATGATCATTTTCATCTTGTAAAATGAAATAAAATTTATAATCATTATTTAGATTATTCGGACTATTGTCCTCATCTTTGTCGCCATATTTATCACAACGTTTCGGCCGTTGTACGCTCTGGCCTTCTTCAGGTGGTTGTCCTCAAGGACACATGGCACAGTGGATAAAGGCGTTGGTTAGATCCAGTGACAGGACCCAAAGAGTGTGAGTTCAATACCCGGTTAAGGCAGTGGAGAACTTTCAAAGGGGAATAAACAGGAGATAACTGCTAACATCCATCAAACATGGCACGTGGAACTAGAACAGTCTACCCCAGTGAGCGAAATAAAGGGTTCAGTTCGAAATTCCAACCGCCTGAAGAAGGCCGGAGCCTACAACGGAGGAAACGTTGTGATAAATATGGCGACAAAGATGAAGACAATAGTCCGAATAATGTAAATAGTGTATATAATACCTGATCTCAGAAATATAGACAGATACTGAAAGGCAGAAACGTGATAAATATGGCGACAAACATGAGGACAATAGTCCGAATAATGTAAATAATGTACATAATACCTGGTCTCAGAAATATAGACAGATACTGAAAGGCAGAAACGTTGTGATAAATATGGCGACAAAGATGAGGACAATAGTCCGAATAATGTAAATAATGTACATAATACCTGATCTCAGAAATATAAACAGATACTGAAAGGCAGAAACGTTGTGATAAATATGGCGACAAAGATGTCCGAATAATGGAATATAATACCTCATCTCAGAAATATAGACAGATACTGAAAAGGCAGAAACGTTGTGATAAATATGGCCAAAGATGAGGACAATAGTAAATAATGTAAATAATGTACATAATACCTGATCTCAGAAATATAAACAGATACTGAAAGGCAGAAACGTTGTGATAAATATTGCGACAAAGATGAGGACAATAGTCCGAATAATGTAAATAATGTAGATAATACCTGATCTCAGAAATATAGACAGACCCAAAATTTATAAGGATTTTTCAAACCAGTCAGTGGATGGTAAATTATTGAAATAAAAATGGCGAAACAGAAGAAGGGAAGAAAATGGAAAAAAGAAAAAAAAAGAAAATTGTTTTTTTTTCTGATATGTTTTTTTTATCTTTAATTCTGAATTATCTCCCTTTTATATAAATGGTTTTATCTCTTCATTTAATCTAATATTATGTTGTTAATAGATTTATGAAGGGTTTCCGAACTGCCTTATATTTATTTCTAGTATTGTGTAAAAAATGACAAAATAAAAATATGCAAAAAATTGTATGTATACATATATCTACATATATTTATATGTAAATATATGTATATATTTACAAATATGTAAGCAAATATATGGATATAGATCCGACAGTATGAAGAAAAATATATACGGAAAAAACAAAACAAAAATCCTTATATACGATTATGCTGTTTTAATGTTAATATGTCAACGTCGGACGTTTCGGTCTAATAAACCATCTTCAGGACATATTCATAAATATAACATTATCAATACAACATGACAAAGACGATGTACATAAGAACAAGACTTATCCAAACAAATAACTGAAAGTTTTATAAGATCAGCGCTCCGTTTAAAACATGGTCCCGTTGTCGTCACGTGGCCGATGCTGTGAAAACGTATTCCTACAATTTGAATGAAAAATTAAAAGAATTCTATTTTGAACTAAAATTCATATATACGCTTGTCGAGCATTAATCTCGCTAGAAAAGGGGAAATATTATAAAACTTTCAGTTATTTGTTTGGAATTCATAAATAATTACATCGGTCACACGACTACATGCCTATCCAGACGACTTACGTTACACATATCTGACCACAGCTCTATTTAAACACATTCACAACGCGGAAAAAATGACTGAAGTCGAGATGATAGGTCAGGACAATGAGCTTTGCAGATTCTTCTCTGGATTTTATCAAGAATCTCCAAACAAAGTGCAGAATCACAAGACGAGACGTGACAGCAATATTCAAAGGATGGACGAATGGTAGACTTATAAATATGTAAGATAGATTCTAGCGAGAAAAACTGACTCGCACGACACAGTGAACCAACTTTCTCAGCAGCAGACTTAGCAGTTGATTCTATATAATCTTTCCACTTCATGTCAGCCGAGAATGTTAGCCTGAGAATCCTTCTTGAAGTTAGTATCATATGTATATGTATTTATACCGAAGGCGCGTGTGTGTGTGTGTGTGTGTGTGTGTATATATATATATATATAGAGAGAGAGAGATGGAAATTATTAGGAGGATTTGATAATTATATTTATCTAATTCATTGAGTCTGATAGAAACCTCAACAGAATGCAGAGGAAGATATTTGGGACTCATCAGCAGCGTGCATACACTACCGAGAATTGAAACCCTGACAGGTAGGTTGTCAAGCAAACATCGTACCAACTGTTCCAAATGGGCCCCATAACAAAGAGATCGCAAATCAGACTCAATATAGCGTCGCTCGCTCACATATTCCGTGGTGGAACTCTTATTGAGTTCTCTCTAACCATAGGACTTCCCCACCCCTCTGGAACCACGACAACTCTCGCCAAGCCACTCACTCTAGAGCATTAGAAGCCGGTTCAAGCAAAGATATACATAGATTTGCAATCTCTTCATCACCGAGGCCCATTGGTACAGTTGGTATGATGTTTGCTCGACAACCTAACTGTCAGTGTTTCAATTCTCAGTAGTGGATGCGCACTGCTGATGAGTCCCAAATGTAGGACGAAACGGCTGTCCAGTGCTTTCTGCATTCTGTTGAGGTTTCTATCAGGCTCGATGAATTAAATATATATATAAACTTAGTATCATGATGATTGGAGGCATAAAGTAGTCTTTTTGGTGATTAATAAAGGAGTAGTTTTTTCTCGACGCTGTATGATCTTCCGTGGAAAACCCAGGAATTTGTGCACTTTCCGTCTATAAAAATATGATTTACTCTTAAGAATTCCTTACGAAGGACGAAACCCATCACATAGAATTATTTTTCATTTTATCATACAATTACCATTATCCATCTTATATATATATATATATATATATATATATATATATATATATATATATATATGTGTGTGTGTGTGTGTGTGTGTGTGTGTGTGTGTGCGCGCGCGTGTGTGTATTATGTGTATATATATATCTGTTTGTATATTGTGTATATATATATGTGTGTGTGTGCGTCTATGTGTGTATTCTTTGTATATATGTGTGTATTGTGTGTATTGTGTGTGTATATATATGTATGTGTGTGTGTGTATTCAAACACACATTTTCCATCTCACTTCTCCACCCTCTCTCAGACACCTTCCCCCCTACACACACATATTTTTGCCATTTTCCCTTTCTTGTTTTTAACTTATTGTTTGTGCCAAACGAAAGCTGACCTCAGTCTAAGGAGCTTACGTTGGTGCAAAGTACAATGTTGAATGATTTCCGAGTATTTTTTGGCTTTTTTTTTTTGTTAAGTCGGAAAAAAAAACAAGTCAAAAATAAAAAGCAAATTCTTACGGTCCCATTAAAGGGTTGGGGTGCTGAAAAGTTGACGGTCAGACCAAAAATTCCTTCCCCTCCCTTTCTTGGTGGCTGTTTATTCGCACTGCTACTTTGAAAACAGTTTCAGTCGATACTACTCTCAACACGTATTCATTCACTATTTTCTTTAAGCATTTCACTCCAAGCAAGGCAATGAAGCCACTAAGACGCAAAAGGTTACTGAGTGTTAGTGAATATGAGAAAAAACTATTATTAAGGAGAGAGGATGTTAAAAGAATAAGATTTCAGAAGTAGGCGATTGACATTTAAATTTTTGAAGATCAAAGTTGACAGAGAAGGAAGAAGCCAGAAGAGATTTTAAATTCACAAAGACTAGCTACTATAGAAGAAAGTTCATCAGAGACAATTAACATGAAAATATTCATAGAAAAGGCAGCAGGAAGCGACGGTGGGAAAGATATTTAAACCGAGATGCCAGGTTTGGCTCTTCTTTGGTAAAATAAGAAAAAAAAAAAAATTAAAAAGCATTGCAGATAACGATTGGCTTTTTAATGGGTAAGAAAGAGTTAAAGAAAAATAAAAAAAATTGTTAATGAGTTCAGAATAAAAAGCCATAGAAATGGACGAATTTATTTATTAAAGAATTTTATTTATGTTTAATTGTTATTTTTATAGATACAAGTATTTAAAATGCTGTTTATGATAAACAGTTAAATAATTTTTACGAGCCTGATAACGAAAATATTCGTTCATAGACATTGAACATTTAAACCGCCATGTTGTTTCGGCCACCATGAACCTAATCGATTTCTGTTATAAACCCCTTCCATGAATCAAACTTTTATGAAGAATAAACAAATTTTTCTATGTTAAGAAATAAAAATTTATTTATTAAAGAATTTTATTTATGTTTAACGTTGTTATTTTTATAGATACAAGATTTATGCTTGTTTATGATAAACAGTATTAAATAACATTTACCGAATGTCCGAGAAAATAAAAATATTCGTTCATAGACAGGATTCGAACCTGCATCCTATACGGAACCGCCATATACGCTGACGTGCCTTATTCACTCGGCACCATGAACCTTATTAGACAAGGTCGAATTTACTGTTATAAACTACAATCTTCCATAAATTCATAACTGCATCGATGTAAACAAATGATATATGTTAAGAAATGGACGAGGTCCGACAAATTTATTAAAGACATTTTTATTTATGTATATATATAATAAACAGTATTAAATAACATTTCTATGAATGTCGATAATTTTATAAAATTTCGTTCATAGACATTTCTTTTAAATTTTTAATTTACTGTCTGATGAATTGGATCGTGACACCATTTCTAAATATGAACCATTTTAATTTTAGTATTTAAATTTATATATTTATATCAATTAATGAATTTATTATATTCATGGAAGATTTTTTATAGAAAATAAATTACAGGATTCACCTATAAGGTTCCGTCATATGGTGACGTGCCTTAACCAGGCACAGCGTGAGTTCGAATCCAAATGTCTACCTGAATATTTTAAATCTTTCAGGCCGGTAAATGTTATTTAATACTGTTTATCATTTGCTTAAATACTTGTATCTATAAAAAAAACAACGTAAAATATATATAAAATGTCTTTAAATATATTTCTTAACATATGACGTCATTTGTTTACATTCGATACGCCAGAGCAGTTAAATTATTCTAACAGTAAATTCGACCTTTTGTCATTCCACGAGCGTATATGACGGTTCCGTATAGGATGCAGGTTCGAATCCTGTCTATGAACGAATATTTTCTAAAAATTTTTTCAGGCCGGTAAATGTTATTTAATACTGTTTATCATAAACAGAGCATTTTGCTTAAATACTTGTATCTATAAAAAAATAACAACGTTAAACATAAATAAAATGTAATTTCCATTTCTTAAAGATTTGTTTACATTCGATACGCCAGAGCAGTTATGAATGTACGAGATTCATGGAAGATTGTAGTTTATAACAGTAAATTCTGTTCACTAAAATGGTGGCCGAGTGGTCAAACGCCAGCGTATATGGCGGTTCCGTATAGGATGCAGGTTCGAATCCGTCTATGAACGAATATTTTCTATGAAAATTCTCGGACATTCAGGCCGGTAAATGTTATTTAATACTGTTTATCATAAACAGAGCATTTGCTTAAATACTTGTATCTATAAAATAACAACGTTAAACATAAATAAAATGTCTTTAATAAATAAATTGTCGGACCTCGTCCATTTCTTAAACATATGACGTCATTTGTTTACATTCGATAAAGAGCAGTTATGAATGTACGAGATTCAAAGATTGTAATAACAGTATTGACCTTGTTTACCAAATGGTGGCCGAGTGGTCAAACCAGTCGAATCCTGTCTTGAACGAATATTTTCTATGAAAATTTTTTCAGGCCGGTAAATGTTATTTAATACTGTTTATCATAAACAGAGCATTTGCTTAAATACTTGTATCTATAAAAATAACAACGTTAAACATAAATAAAATGTCTTTAAAAATAAATTGTTCCTCGTCCATTTCTTAACATATGACGTCATTTGTTTACATTCGATACGCCAGAGCAGTTATGAATGTACAGATTCATGGAAGATTGTAGTTTATAAAAATTGACCTTGTCTACCATAAGGTTCATGGTGGCCGAGTGGTCAAGGCACGCCACCGTATATGGCGGTTCCGTATAGGATGCAGGTTCGAATTGTCTATGAACGAATATTTTCTATGAAAATTTCTTTTGGACATTCAGGCCGGTAAATGTTATTTAATACTGTTTATCATAAACAGAGCATTTGCTTAAATACTTGTATCTATAAAAAATAACAACGTTAAACATTAAAATTATATATATTATATATATATATATATATATATATTTGATTTTCATTTTTAAATTTGTAGGTCTGATGAATTGATCTGATTACTTGGGAATATTAGTAGTTTGCAATGTTTATCTTTTAAAAAATATATATATAATATATTATATAATATATATATATATATATATAATATATCTAATTATTCTTGATGTATTCTAGTAGACGTCCCGTTGTATTTTAAAACCGGCCTGCACATCAGAGAAAACTTTTTTAAAGAAAATGTGCCAGTGGGTAATTTAATAATCTAAGAAGTGCAGTCCGGTAGACAAAACACATACTGTTTAAAATTAACGGAACGTCTACTTTAATACGCGTATCCACAAAAAATAAAGTTTCAAGCAATAAAAGTATGTCGGACTAAAAAATAAAACCAGTATTTCATATATATACAAGTTTCATATGTACTAATTTGATTGAATACTAACAAAAGTTCATTGGCAATCTTTGAGCTTGTTGCCCGCAAAAGACAGTGTGTCAAAGGAAGATTGTCCTTGACACCGCTATTATTATAACTACATTCACTCCTTGGCAATGTTTATTGTTTAAAAAAATATCAGAATTTTGATACAAATCAAATATGAAAGTGAATTTATACATTTTCTTTGTTCTTGATAATTAACAGCAAAAATAATAAACACTACAGATATACCACGCCCTACATTGTTAATTGGCCCCAGAGGTCACGACTTTGGTCGAAAAACGACTTAAGTCGAAATAACAGCACAATAAAACGTAAATAAGCACTACTCATTGCATATTACAGTATTTGTGATATGTAAGTACAATATTCCGAATAAAATAATTAATTTCCACCTTATCCTCCAGCGATATAGTATAACGCTTAGCATTAGCACTTACACTGGTACTTGTTTTGGAGCAATAGATAAAAATATATTCTAAATCGCAACTGAAATGTAATTGAAAGACGTCAACGGCGGAGCACAGATGTAAACATGTCTGAATACAAAATCACTGTTGGAGCGGAAAAAATAACGCACAGGTGCCGCCTGTCGACAGCAATTTGAAATAAGGACATCTGGTAACCATATTTTATTATGCTAATTGTTTTGTTTTTGATGATTTTATGATATATATATATATATATATATATATATATATATATATATATATATATATTACACAATATTATTTTAAATTTATGTAAATATGATTTTATGAGAGTTTGTTGTTATTTTTGTGTTTTGACGTTTCTAATATTTTTAACGCCCGACGTAAACTCGAGTAAAACGATCTAAAGCGAGTTTTATTTTTCCATATAATATTTAAGAAAAACCGACGAATCTTTGAAAATGACTTAACTCGAAACGACTTAAGCCGAGGTATCACTGTATTTATTTGATTGTTTATTAGGTTAGCAAAACATCGGCTCTTTGCTGATCGATTCGATCTTTATAAAAGGATAAATAATAATGATTTCTTTCGAGTTGCTTCACATATTTTAAAACTAGGAAATGTTTATACATTTATGAATAAAATATTGTTTTCGCATTTATTTCTTTATAAATTGGTAAATGATAAATATTGCTTTAGTTTTAATTGTATTTGTTTTTAGGTTGTTGAAAATTATTCTTATAAATAAACAATGTAATAAATAAAAAATAGTTCAATATTTTTGCTGTAATTTCTCAACCAAATAATATGTAGAAATTCACATTCGTCATATTTACGTTTTTATATTAATTTTAATCTTCGTTTCTTCAAACAATAAACATTTACCGGAGAGTGAATGAATTTAAGCGCAGTACCTGATTGGCGGCCAGGTCTTATCATTTTACAGTTGCACTGGCTATATTCAACCGTAAGTTCTATGCTTCGAGTTCCTTCTCTTGCATGTTTACGTTTTATCACATTATAAAAAAAAAAAAAAATGATAGTAGGAAAAACTTGCATGCCAACGCGTTTTGTCAAATTTTCTCAATTTGAGTCTATTATTATTAACATTCAACGTCCTACCCTGTGTAGACAACGGTGATGAAATATAGGTTGGCCATATTCGGAGAAACTACTGCCTGACCAAGAATATATATATATATATATATATATATATATATATATATATATATATATATATATATATATATATTTTCTCCTGCAAATGCCTATTGTGTAATTGATTTATTAATATCAGTTGTTGATAAAAAAATTTCTTATCAGCATCTTCGTTTTATTTTGCCGACGATTCTGTTTCTGAGAAAATGTCGGCTGAAGGCGCCTAAAACCCTTTTCTTAAACGAGACACTTTTGTATCTATTTTGATAATATAAAAAATATGATCCTTGTCTTTAAAGTTATTCTGTCTGGGTGTGGCATTAAGAAAAAATCTGTTTATATATATATATATATAATGGTGCATTTCAGTATTACTCAATGATCTTGCTGATGTGACCTCCATCTTCTGCCTTTCGCCTTCTATATTTTGTATAGGAGTCATTCCCTTGATTAAATTTAATTTTAATTCAAATCTAAGGGGGAAAAAAGATTTTCAGTGTGGGGGGGTGCAAAAATAGTTTGATTTGATCCCTTTTATAGATATTTGATGCAATATTTGATTGAATAAATTGATGAGCATATTTCATCATAGATATTATTCACGTACCCTGGGCAATTTAGTTTTGGTTATGGGAGTCTATCTGCAAAACCCTAGGAGAGGCTCCATAACAAACTCAGAGACAGAGGTTACAATTATATATATATAGAACATATAATCCGGTGTTCTTGTTTTTTTTTTATTTTTATTTTTACAAAACAGTGCTCACTGTAAATTTACAGAGCATAAATATTATAAATTAACCGATTTAAAATGTGTTTTTTCGCTACACAGTAATAACCATGTTTCAAAAATGGAAGCTAAAAACTTAAAATTTAATTATATAATTAAATTAAAAGCATTAGTTCCGTTTCATCATCGAGCGAATAGTGGAATAACTTGCGGAACTAATGCTTTTAATTTAATTATATAATTAAATTTCAGGTTTTTATCTTACATTTTTGAAACATGGTTATTATTGTGTAGCGAAAAAAACATATTTTAAATCAGTTAATTAATAATATATATATATATGAAGTGAGAGAGAGAGAGAGAGTGAAAGAGAGAGAGAGAGAAAATCTGTGTGTGTGTGTGCTAGATAATCAGAATCAACACTGCATGTTGAATATCAGTTTCACTCCGTGAATGAACTTCAGACAAAGATAATACCTCGAGGTTTCACACTGCACTGTAGATTCCTGTTTCCATTCTCTCTGTTTCTCTCACTCGTTCATACTCTGCTTCTTTCTTTATTTCTTCTTTCATTTTTCTGTCGTTTTCTTTCCTTCTTTCTTTCTTTCTTTCTTTTATTTCATTTTTTCTTCTGACACCCTCGTCTGCTATCTTTTAATTCTTTTTTAATTTCTTTTTCTATTCTTTCATTCTGCTTACTCTGATATCTTTCTTTCTTTCTTTCTTTCTTTCTTTCTTTCTTTTATTTGTAACTTATTTTTCTTTTGTTTCCTTTTTTCTAACATTCCCGTCTTCTTTCTCTCTTTGTTTCCTTCATTCTTTCTTTCTTTTGAATTTTAATTTTTTCTTTGTCGTTTATTTTTCTGTTCTTTCCTTTTTTTTTACTCTAACACCATTGTAAGTGTGTCTGTCTGTCTCTGTGTATCTGACTTCTTTCTTTTTTCTTTCTTTCTTTCTTTTTGAATCCATATCTTTTAGCTTTTTTCTTTTCTTTCTTTCTACTTTCTTCTTTAGCATATTTCTTTCTTCTTTCTTTCTTTCTTTCTTTCTTTCTTTCTTTCTTTCTTTCTTTCGTTCCTTCTTCTCTTCTCTTCTCTTCTTTCTTTCTTTCTTTCTTTCTTTCGTTCCTTCTTCTCTTCTCTTCTCTTCTCTTCTTTCTTTCTTTCTTTCTTTCTTTCTTTCTTTAATCCATCTCTTTTAGCTTTTCTTTTCTTCTTTTCTACTTTCTCCCTTGGCATATTTCTTTCTTTCTTTCTTTCTTTCTTTCTTTCTTTCTTTCTTTCTTTTATTTATTTGTATATTTATTTTCTTCTGACATTACCCTCTTCTTTCTTTATTTTTTGTTTGTTTATTTTTTCCTTTTTCTTTTTTCTTTTTAATTTTTTTTCTCTTCTATATTTCGTTTTACTCTGACAGCCAGTAGATTTCTTTCTTTTAATGTCCTTTTTCTCTTACTTCTGATTCAATTTTATTTCCTTTTCATTTTTCTTTTCTTTGTTTTTTTTTCCATTCTGACCCTCCCATTTTCTTTCTTTTCTTTCCAAATAGCATAAAAATTTTACAATCAGTGGCATTCATTCAGTCTTTATTTCCGCCATTCTACCTTCCATTGTGTATCGTCTGATAACTTACTGTTGATGTCACCACGATCGACACAAGAAACCTTTCGTTTGTTGTTCTTGTCGAATTCTTTTTATTATTATTATTATTTGGTAATTTTTCAATCAATACAATGAAATCTTTCCTACTTCCCTTACAATCTTCTCACCTTGGCTTTCTTGTTGTTACTCGTAACTTTTTATTCATTCTTTTTTTCCCGATCTTGCCATTTTTACGCCTTCTTTGCACAAACACCATTTTTTTTATTATTAAGAAGTCACAACGGGTTATTTTATTTTATTTATTTATTTTATTTTATTTTATTTATTTTATTTTATTTTATTTATTTATTTTATTTTATTTATTTTGTTTTATTTATTTATTTTATTTTACTTATTTTATTTATTTATGTTATTTTAATTATTTTATTTTATTTTATTTATTTTATTTTATTTTATTTTATTTATTTATTTTATTTTACTTACTTTATTTTATTTTATTTATTTATTTTATTTTACTTATTTTATTTTATTTTATTTATTTTATTTTATTTTATTTTATTTATTTATTTTATTTATTTATTTTATTTTATTTCTTTTCTTTTCTTTTTATTTATTTATTTTATTTTATTTTGTGTATTTATTTTATGTTATTTATTTATTTTATTTTATTTTTATTTACTTTATTGTTATTTATTTTATTTTACTTTTTTCTTTTATTTATTTATTTTATTTTATTTATTTTATTTCATTTACTTTATTTTTATTTATTTTATTTTTCTTCTTTTCTTTTATTTATTTATTTTATTTTATTTTGTGTATTTATTTTATTTTACTGATTTTATTTTATTTTATTTATTTATTTATAATGTTAGTTCACACTGTCGTGCCACACATCTTTTTCTTACAAGAATCTATCAATATACCGACAAGACAGTGATGATAGTCTGTGATTGTTTATATGGATGATTTCCTAGCAACGATAAACACGTGCATATATAGCACCGCTGCTAATGATGTCACACATGGCCACGCGAGAGTGAATTCGAGAAGTATTAAGTATGAGAAGCCGTTGGTATAAGCCAATGGCTTCTGTTACCAATTATGGACATTTAAGGATATTTGTAGAGATTCCATAGTTGATTTTGTTTAGGTTGGGTTTCAACTGTTTGATGTATATTGTTTCAAGGATTTTTAGTTTTTGTCTATTGTTTTCATGTTGAAGTATAATTGTCCGTATATTGCTTAATATGTTGTACAGTAATTGACATCTTTGATAATGGCTTAAGTAAGCCGAAAATTAGATTGGATTAAAAAATATGGATCAATATTGTGATTTTCTTTCTTCGTTTAATGATAATGTCATTAAGCTTATCAGACGTTATGAAAAGAATTTACATAAAATAAATAGACAACACTTGTCTATATTATTTAATGAAACATGTATGAATGAAAAATGATGCCTAAATACACAAATATATATATATATATATATATATATATATATATATATATATATATATATATATATATATATCCATTCCTGTAATTATTGAACAATATAGTTCATGCCACATTGACGGAAAACCTACTAGTACAAAAAAGAATTCTCTTATTACTATATTTGTACAAAAAACGCACAACCTTAAAATTTAAAATTCAAACTCAGCGTTGCGACCGCACGTTCCAAAACAATAACACATTTCCCATAGCATTTTTTCGGGTTACATCTCTATTTTCGTTGTCCTCTTATTACCGAGAAGTAAAAAACAAAAACAAATCAATTTCCATACCTGAAGATGTCTGTAGGAACAGACGAAAGCTTGTTAAAACTAAAAAAGACCTTATGAAACTGGAATTTATAAACAGGGATCATATTATTCATATACAGGTTCGGGGTTAGTGTATCTTATTGAAATTGTTTGCAAAGATGTATTCTCGCCATTTAAATCATTAACCTCTATATTTGATTTTGTATGAATGATTCATATATATATATATATATATATATATATATATATATATATATATATATATATATACAGTGTAACACGGATATAAGAGACCCGATATAAGAGAACCCCGGATATGAGAGATTTTATCTGGTCCCAAATTAGAGCCTGTGTTAATGTATAAAACAGACCAAACCCGGATATAAGAGAGAAACCGGATATAAGATACTTCTTCTCCGGTCCCGACAACTCTCTTATATCCGTTACACAGTATATATATATATATATATATATATATATATATATATATATATATATATAAAAAAATGTATGCCCAAAAATTCTGGTAAAGAATCCACAGTTCTTTACCATTTAATTTTTTAAAAAGTGCTCCATGCAACGTAAAGGATAAAATTTTAAAAATATTTTTGTTTAAAGAATGTTTTACATCGCGACACAAACTGAAAAGACAAAATGGCTGACAGTTTACTAGAGCCTTTTGGTTGCCTCTTTCATGGGTTTTTTGTATACCTACGTTCCGTTTAAATTCTCTGTTCCACTGCAGAATCTATAAAATGGTAAACCGGATGCTATAATCTTCTGACTCCTTCGTTGGTTCCTCTTAAATTAGCTCTTCTCTCAAGGAATGCCGGATGTTTTCTTTATAAGGATACAGTTAATATTACCATCATATGAAGTGAATAAATGCTATATCTTGAATACAGCGCAGTGACCAGAGAGTAAAGAGAAGCGTAAAAATATTCACCTTGAAAACATTTATAGAAAAAGTCAGAGAGAAGTGACGTTCCGGCGGTGGGGAACGTGATCGATGCTGAGATGCCAGAAATTCAATGCGGATGAAGTTTTTGTTTGTCTAAAATTCTGAAGGAAAGAATGTTCACTTTGATATAGAATAAAATGTAAGAGAATATGAGTAAATTCCTGAAATAGAAAAAATTAAAAGGTAGCGTACTGAGTTCATCAGAGTTAATGTCTCATTTCTGTAGTGATAGCTGTTGTAGTAAAAATCAAATGTTCATCCGTTATACGTGAATCACGTTTCGTCTCGTTAACGTGCGAAAATTGGTTTTAGTGAAATGAAAAAAACTTTTTTGCGATGACGCCGGTTGAAACATCTTCCAAATTTTCTTATATAATTACCATTTCGTCGGTTCCTCATTCAAATTTTCTTTCTTTCTTTCATTTTCTTTCTTTCTTTTTTCTTTTTTTCTTCCAATCATTTCTTTCTTTCTTTCTTTCTTTACTCCAATAGTTTCTTTCTTTCTTTCTTTCTTTCTTTCTTTCTTTCTTTCTTTACTCCAATCATTTCTTTCTTTCTTTCTTTCTTTCTTTCTTTCTTTCTTTACTCCAATCATTTCTTTCTTTCTTTTTTTACTCCAATAGTTTCTTTCTTTTTTTCTTTCTTTCTTTCTTTCTTTCTTTCTTTCTTTCTTTCTTTACTCCAATCATTTCTTTCTTTCTTTCTTTACTTCAATCATTTCTTTCTTTCTTTCTTTCTTTCTTTCTTTCTTTCTTTCTTTCTTTCTTTCTTTCTTTCTTTACTTCAATCTTTTTCTTTCTTTCTTTCTTTCTTTCTTTCTTTCTTTCTTTCTTTCTTTCTTTCTTTCTTTGCTCCAATCGTTTATTTTCTTTCTTTCTTTCTTTATTTCTTTCTTTCTTTCTTTCTTTCTAAGCTTGAATGTTGGGGTGGTGCAATGGATAATGACTCGGAATTGTTAATCGGAGAGTCGAGTTCCAATTCTCGTTGGCGTTAGATATATTCACTTACGCACTAATACCTTTGGGAAAGGCATGAATCTACCTTTTATCTATCCCAACTATAAGTTAATTAATAGGACTTGTATCAGAAAAATCATTATTATCTTAGAAAATAATTACAATGAAAAAATTATTTTTCTCGCTTCAAATAATCTGCAAAAGGTTGATAAGCCGTAAAACAGAAGTCAATCAATCAATCTCTCCATACACTGCTTGGAGAATGAGATTAATCACTGCCAATGTTTCAAAATAAGGAAGACCGAAGACTACATCGGCTGAAGCGTAATGTGAAAAATAATAAGGATACGGATGCTCGTTTAAATAACACGTTGAAGCAAATCAATAATTTTCTGTTTATATTTCTAAGATGAGCTATTTTAACATTTTACAGTATTGACATTGTTCGGACTGTTATCAACGTCTTTATTGAAATATCCCCGACCTTTCGGCCGTTGTACTATCCAGTCTTCTTCAGGAGATATACGTTAGAATTTCGAACCAAACCTTACACCGAGGTAGATTGTTCTCGTTCCATGTGCCATGCCTTTTCTGTTGTGGCCAGGTATTGAACTACTGAACAATAAATTGCATATAAGAATTTCAGGAACTGTTTCGCAGACAATAAATAAAAAAAAGAAGTGAAATCAAACGGCCATCAGATTTTTATTAACCACCTTCGAGAAGAAATAACAACCACGATGATAACTGTCGATTGATAACACTAAGCAGTAATGACGTCTCTCAACTTTCAGATATTCACATTAAACAGAAGAATAAGACGTTGTTGACTTGTAATGTTTGTGCCACTTCTTGAGCGATTGGCTTAAATGTTCCCCGGCTGTTTGTCCATTTTCGCATTATTTCGACTATACGAATTCTTACAACACATAAACATTTATGCTTGGCAGGAGAAAGGGGGAGGGTCTTTACGTTTTTACAAAGATCCAACGGTGTTCGCTTTTTCCTTTCTTCTTCACCCCGCCATAGTGCCTGTTTATACTCGCTGTGCGATCGAATTTCTTCGATCAGAGAGGCAACCAAGCGTGCATATTGTTGCATCTGAGAAGTGGTGCATTTTTAAAATGTCAATCGCTATGCGTTGCAATGTCGATGAAATAAATTTTAAAGACACAGCGTTGCTTTCTCTCTTCGATTGTTTTTAATTTCTTGTGGGTTAATAACTGCGTTTTCAAAAGTAGCCATTGTGTTAACTTTGTTTGAATTGTGTTTCAAATATCTTGCCTTCACGCCTCAATTAGCATCGTCTTTTCATGCATATATACCTACAGTCACAAGCTTATTAAAAAACTTATAAGACACACGCACACCCCCATATATATATATATATATATATATATATATATATATATATATATATATATATATATATATATATATATATATATATGTATTTATATATATTTATATATATATTTATATGTATTATTTAAGGTGTGCTATATTTATAGGATAAAGTGCACATGTAAATATAAATATAAAAGTGAACATTGAAGTCAACATTTGAGGCGACAGGCTGCTTCATGTTTCAGGGCTGACAATTGCATCTAGTATGAAACAGCCTGTCGCCTCTGGGTGTTGACTTCAATGTTCATACACACACACACACACACACACATATATATATATATATATACTTGCTGTTTCACCCCATGCAAGGGAAGCCACTAGCACGCAAGGTGTTACAGAGAGTTGGAGCGAGATCAGACGGGAGTGATAGAAGAAAGGATGAGGAGAAGGATATTGGATAGATCCAGGCAATTGAAGATGTCGATTGACATTACATTTGAATAGTTGGCGATCATAGCTATCAGGGAGCCAGGAAAAGGGGAGGGAGTTCCACAGGCGAGAAGTGTGAGACATGAAGCTATTGGAGTAGAAGAGACGGCACCATTTAACAGTTTCGACAGTGAAAGGGTGAGAGCGAGATGCCAGCCTAGTTGAACGCTTAAATTCATGAAGGCTGGGAACCAGCGAAAGCAGCTCATCGGAGCAGTTACCGTGAAAGTATTTGTAAAAAAGACAGAGGGAGGCGACAGCACGTCTGTGAGAGAGAGACTGCAGACGAGATGCCAGATCAGGGCCAATTATATTGCATATCCGTCTCTGGATCTTATCAAGAACCCCGAGGCAAACAGAAGGGGCACCAGACCATATATGGCAACAATGCTCCATGCAAGGGCGAATGGTTGATTTTTAGATTTGAAGGATCGACTCTGTCGAGAAAAAATTCCTGGTACGGCAGCTAAATTTTTTGTGTGTGTGTGTGTGTGTGTGCAATTTCTCTCCGGAAATATATATATATATATATATATATTGTCATCCACAGACAGACTGTTTCGCTGTTTCACAGCTCATTAGTGTGGCTAGACATCCGATTGCCTAAAGCCGGGATCGAAACCCGCCTCTTAGCATAAAATTAAATAGAACAAATATTATTTACGAATTTAAATTCTATTAAGGAATTGTATTCCTGATCAATCAAAATTCGTAAACAATTATATAGGCCACACTACAACATGTTTGACAAGAAGACTCGCACTATATCTTTCTGATCATAGCTCAGTTAGATCTCATTTAAATATTCATAGAGACCTACTGGACCCTATTCGTAACATGGTGGTTAACACAAATATAATAGCATCGTTTACATGTAAGAAAAGATTCAAAATAATGGAAGCATTATTAATAAAAAAACAAAACAACACTAGCAACTAGGAACATGGACACAGTATCTTGACCGTGTTTTGAAAATGAAGCATTGTATAAATACATGCATGCAACAATCTATTACGAGTTAACAGTTAATATATTTCAACTATGAAAATGGCTAAATGTATGGCCAAGAGCGCTCAGATAAAAACATTGGGTCAGTTTTTATATAATTTATCTACTGAAGAGAAAAATTATAAGATTACAGGAGAAAGTATATAAAAAACTTAATCAAAACACCTTGTTAGTCATATCCAACGAAACTTGCATGAAAGAATGATTGCTGCCTAAATACACAATATATATATATATTCATAGAGGTTTCATTAAATAATATAGACAATATACGGACAAGACAGTGATGTTAGTCTGTTATTGTTTACATGGATGATTTCCAAGCAATGATAAACACGTGCATATAAGACGCTAGAAGCGAAAATCGCACCGCAGCTCATGACGTCACACATCACCATGCGAGGGCGAATTCGAGAAGTATTAAGTATGAGAAGCCGTTGGTATAAACCAATGGCTTTTGTTACGAATTATAAACATTTACGGATATTTGTAAAGATTCGAAAGTTGATTTTGTTTAGGTTAGGTTTTAACTGTTTGATGTATATAGCTTCAAGGATTTTAGTTGCTTGGAAATCATCCATGTAAACAATAGTAGACTATCATCATTGCCTTGTCCGTATATTGCTTAATATATTGTACAGTAATTGACATCTTTGATAATGGCTTATGTAAGCCGAAAACTTAGATTGGATTAAAAAACTATGGATCAATATTGTGATTTTCTTTCTTCGTTTAATGATAATGTTATTAAGCTTATCAGACGCTATGAAAAGAATTTACATAAAATAAATAGACAACACTTGTCTATATTATTTAATGAAACATGTACGAATGAAAAAATGCTGCCTAAATACAAACACAATATATATATATATATATATATATATATATATATATATCATTGAATAATTTAGACAAGTTTTGTCGACTTATTTTATATAGGATCCTTTCATATTCACGGACAAGCTTCTTAGTATCCTTATTAAAGGAAGTGAGAAAATTACCATGTCGATACCTATTCATTTATTCAAATACTTTCGACATTAGCACAACGTCATCATCTGAGTGTTGTTTTTTTTGTTAAGACAAAATTGTTGTGCTCATCTGAAAGTTTTCTTTTTGTTTTTGAAAAATGCTATGTTTATATACAGTACGATCTAAAATTCATAGTGTAAATGTCAGGGGAGATAACTAAGTTTTGAAATGTCCATATGTTTAAAAAAAAACTATCAAAATACAAGGACCTCGAAGTCGAAATCACAAAAATTTGGCGCATGAGCACATTAACAATTCCAATTGCAGTTGGAGCCCTCGGATTGATTGGAAAAGATTCCTATAGACACATTGAAGGAATCCTTTGTAACCAATGCCTTAAAGAAATAAAAAAAATGTACTCACAAGTACAGCCTACACTTTACGAAGGGCTTTTATCTATGTAAAATATGTGCGATTTTTTTTTTCAAATCTGCTCATTGGAAAATGTCATCATGCCATTTCTGACCTCAGGTCTCTGGTCGGGACCCGGAAAGAAATGAGTATGCATCAGAAACCAAAGGAAATAATAATAATAATAAATTCGCTACCTCCCCATATGATGAACCTGCTAGCATAAATTCATGCACTTTTAACAATAAGAGTGAATGTCTTAATTACTATAAAATAACAATTATAAAAAAAATCTTAATAAAACATGCAAAAATTAATTCATCCACAAAACAGATTTGCTTGGGGTGAAATGATTTTAAAAAGTACCATTTTATCGGTAACTAGCAGCCATATCCCGCTGGTCGATCAGAAAAAGGTTTCAATTAGAATGGAGCAAAAACAACATCATGTTTAGATGTTACAGAGTCTATCTTCTTCAATTACTTTAAAGTACGTTCATTAAAAAACATTTTGAATTAATGCAGTTACTGATATAAGAGAAGTAGTCTGTATTTATTCAATTGAAGTTAGCCAAGGACATGAAGGGGTAAAACAGGCAACATAAAGACACACTTCAGATCACAATTATTTTGGAATTTTTGAAATTCTGTAAAATTCTAAATTTTGTAAAAGAGGATACATTTATAAATCAATTGTTAAGTTTAATGAAAATTGGTTGGAAGATCAACGGAAAACAAGAATGAATTGCCATTTTTCGCTGTTTACGCGGTTTTCCCTATATAGGTGGACACAATTATCAAGTGAAATGCTAAACAATCAACTTATTGTTGGCTACAATTGAGTGAAATTTTTATAAGATTGCTTGAAAACTTAGTTCAAAATTTGTATTGAAATCGATTTTTCGTGGTTTTTTGTTAAACGCAGTGGCGTAGAAATAAAAATGAGGTAATGTTGAGCTCGTCAAGATATAAGTAACCTATATACCGAGCTTAAACGAAATCGGAGGAAAAAAGTTGAATTTATCGACATTTGATCGGCTTTATTGATTATTGATTTTTTTTTAATTTTCGATTTTTTACGATAAGGACCTATCTCTTACATTGTACAATATATGTTCTAAGTTCTAAGTTTGGTCAAAATTAGTTGGATGATCCCGAGTGAAAGGTAACACAGAGACAGACAGACATTCTCTGTTTTATATATATAGAAAAAAAAATTAGAGAAGGTGAGAATTTGGGTTGTTTAGTAAGAAATCATAAAAGAAAGATTAAAATGGCGGACTTCTCTCAAGTGTTGGGGAATTAGACTCAAAAGCAATGGTATAACAGAATTGTTTTGTGATCAGTTCCTCTGGTTGGTGTGATAAACACAATGTAAATCATAGTCTCATCACATGATACTCGGGTTAAATACAGACCGCTTTTCTTTTTGTGGACGAAGTTCCCACCATTGACCAAAGATTTTATGCTTTTCCCTCGCTTCATGTCTTTGTCGACGCTTTGATGAACGTCGCTTTCTCCTCTAATTCTCATTCTTTCTCTCCATCTATGTCTCTGGCCTTTAAAACATCTTTGATGTGTTAACACTGAAAAGGCCGTATCACCATCGAGGCAAACTCATTGATCAGTTGTCAGACTCCGTCGGCAGGATTGCTTTTGTTCGTTGATCGAAGCAAGCACAAATATGGCCGACATGTTATAAGTGGCTATTGAACTGACCGGGGTACAGAATATTAGAAAAAAAAAAAAAAGAGTTGAAGGGGGAATGCGAAGAAAGAAAATAAATCACTATATATATATATATATAGATATTTTAAATACAAAGACGAAATTAAGTAATAAAGAAGAAGCTCAAAACGAAAAGAGAAAAAAAGATAAAGAGAAAACTCGTATATACTGGTACATAGGTTGATCTCATGTTCGGCCCGACAAAAATTTCGGTTGCTATATCCAATATGGCCGCCGTGCTACAGAACTGACAGATTCGGAATGGGGGTTTTCAGAAAAAATAAAATATAACTGAGATAAATAGATATATAGATAGATAGATAGATGGATATGAACAGACTTAGATATGAACAAAGATAGATATATATGAGCAGAGATAGAGATATATATATATATATATATATATATATATATATATATATATATAGAGAGATAGAGAGATGAACAGACGTAGATATGAACAAAGAGAGATCGATATATATATATACATATATATATATATATACACATGAGCATATATATATATATATATATATATATATATATATATATAGAGAGAGAGAGAGAGAGATATGAACAGACTGAGATAGATAGATAGATAGATAGATAGATATGAACATATTGAGATTAATAGAAAGACATGAACAAACTGAGATATGAACAGACTAAGACAGATCGATATGTATATATATATATATATGAGCAGAGATAGAGAGCTATATAGATATACAGGGAGAGTGAGAGAGAAAGAGATATAGAGAGTGAGAGATGAACAGACTTAGATTGATATGAACAGACTGAGATAGATAGATAGATAGATAGATAGATAGATAGATAGATAGATAGATAGATTGATAGTGAAATGACTGATAGCTCCAATAACACGTAATTTGTTGTAATAATCAAATAATAATTTTGTACTTACATTAAATTTGAAGGTTTTAGCTTCCATTTTTTGAAACATGGTTATTACTGTGTAGCGAAAACCCATATTTTAAACCAGTTAATTTATAATATTTATACTCTGTAAATTTTCATTGAGCACTGTTTTGTAAAAATAAAAATAAAAAATATCAATAAAAACACCGGATTATATATCTTACTGTTCTATCTTGAAATTCTTTTATACAAATATATATATGTATGTGTATGTATGTATGTATGTATGTATATATATTTATATATTTTAGATATATGATTGCATATGTATGTGTATATTTTACCACTAATATTATCTATCTATCATCTATCTCTATCTCTCTCTCTCTCTCTCTCTCTCTCTCTATATATATATATATATATATATATATATATATATATATACAGCTAATTAAAAATATTTTTTATTGTAAAAAAATGAAAATACTCAGACACACTGAGTTGTATATTAATATTCTTTCATTTTTAATATTATTTCATTTAGATTCCTCAACAAATTTCAGTCAACATGGCCATTATCAGGAGAAAAAAAATGTTCTGCTTGTTAGTAGCAATGAACTACAAAAATGAATATGTTGATGGAGAAAATGAACTTTTGTCTGTAGTTTTAATTTTTTTTTTTTTACATGAATTTTGGTCAGCCTTTGTGTTGGTCAAACAGTCTCTTTTAAGTTGTTATTTAAGATAAGAGCTGGATGGATTCATGCTGCTCTGAATTCCCTTGGTCATTTTGACAGTTTTATTGGTTCCTGGAAAGGGGATGTGTCTCTGTTAAGTGTTTATGTTTTTTGCTTCTTAGGGAGTCAGTGAGTATCATGTGTGTAAGTGTGTATATTACTATGGGTGTGTGTTATCATTTGGCTCATTAGGGAGTGAGTGAGTATGATGTGTGTAAGTGTGTATATTAGTATGGGTGTGTGTATAAGTGTGAAGCCTCAACACCTCCTCAAGCATGTCTCTCTTGTGTGGGTGAGAAATGTGGGTAGGTTTTGAATTGTGGGGTTATATATTAATTCTATCTATATTGTTAATTTTGTGATTAAGCCCGGCTGGATATCCATAGCTTGCGCTGATGGCCTACGGTTGAGAGTCTCCGACTGATATCAAGATCGGGTTTCGATCCTTCGATATACGCACTTACACACATCATACTCACTCACTCCTTAAGAAGCAAATAACACATACACACTTAACAGAGACACATCCCCTTTCCAGGAACCAATAAAACTGTCAAAATGACCAAAGGAATTCAGAGCAGCATGAATCCATCCAGCTCTTATCTTAAATAACAACTTAAAAGAGACTGTTTGACCAACACAAAGGCTGACCAAAATTCATGTTATAAAAAAAAAATAACAATAAAAAAACAAATGAAAACTACAGACAAAAGTTCATTTTCTCCATCAAGAAATTCATTTCTGTAGTTCACTGCTACTAACAAGCAGAATTTTTTTTCTCCTGATGATGGCCATGCTGGCCGAAACTAGTCGAGGAATCTAACTGAAATAATAAAAACGAAAGAATATTAATATACAATCCAATGTGTCTGAAGATTTTAATTTTTTAATATTTTTTATTATTCAAAACATATATATATATATATATATATATATATATATATATATATATATATATATATATATATATATCCGGAGTCCTTTAAAAGGATTTTGGTGAAATAAATTATTGTAATGGTACCTTAAAGTGGTCTGTTTTTCATTAAATATTAGCTCTGTATTCACATTGAGCTCTCAGGATTTCATCCTCCTTGAATTACCCATTCGGTTTACTAAGTTCTTTCGTAACTTATATATATATATATATATATATATATATAAACAAAAACCTTATCTTTTTGTTGGTTTCAATTATTATTATTATGATTATTATTATTATTATTATTCTCCTCCTTCTTTTTTCTTCTTCTCGTCCTTCCCCTCCTCATTCTTCTTCTTCTTCTTCTTCTTCTTCTTCTTCTTCTTCTTCTTCTTCTTCTTCTTCTATGTGCCGTGACCCTTCAGGTGATCATTGCTCTCCACAACTACCCGTGCCTTCGGAGCTCTCAATAAATTTTGTCTTTTCGCCATCTATCCAAAATCTTGCCCCGCCATCTATTTACCCAAGCTCTCCAGGTAAGATATGCGCTGGTTTCCTCTGTCCCATTTGCCTTCAATCTCCCCTGTGAGCATCGGATTTTCCAAGCCCTCTTTCCTCTTGATGTGCCTGGAAATTTCAACTGTCTCTTCCTTCTATTATGTGACGTGTCCCTTCAAAACGTAAGCGATCATGGCCCTCCACATCTTCCTGTCCCTTGTAGCTTTTAGTAATTTCTCTCTTTTTGTTATTTAGTCAAGCTCATCAATCCTGTGTCTGTATTTTTTTCAATCTGTCCTGTAGGTATCAGATTTTCCAAGCCCTCTTTCCTCAGTAAGTACACTAGAAACCTTAACTGCCTCTTCTTGATGTTAAGTATAAGTTTCCGTTTCGTTTCCATTTTCTCTAAAACTTCAACGTTGCGCATCGTTGTTCGGTCCATGATATCCTGAGTATCCTTCTGTAGGACAACATTTCTATTGCTTCAAATCTCTTTTTCATCATTGAGGAGAATGTCCGGCATTCCCTGCCATACATATGTTGCTTGAAGTCTCGTCTTTATCCTTAGGAAGATTGTCCAGCATTCATTGCCATATAGGAGGACTGATATTACATAACAGTTCAGTACTCTTTTCTTTGATTCTGTTGCTTCAAGTCTCTTCCTCATCTGTGAGGAGATTGTCCAGCATTCATTGTCATATAGGAGGACTGATATTACATAACAGTTCAGTACTCTTTTCTTTGTTTCTCTTGCTTCAAGTCTCTTCTTCATCTGTGAAAAGTTTGTCCAGCATTCGTTGCCATATCGAAGAATTGATATAACAGTTCAGTCATTTTTTCTTTGTTTCTGAAGAAATTTTCCTGTTTCTTAATACTTTACTTAGCTTCTAGAACGCATCTGTTGCTATTCCAATACAGCTTCGAATTTCGTTGTCACATTTTCTATCATCTGTTAAAGCACTTCAGATAGCTACAGTTTTGTACTTGATTTATTTTGACCTCCTGTTTGTAGCTCACATCTTTGGCTGCCAGGATTGCTACTGATCATACATTCTGGCTTTTCTACAATTGATGGTTAGTCCTTTCTTCTCCCTTTCCTTTTGTAAACATATCTAGAAGTTTCTATTGTTTTCTTTCTGCATTTCCCAGCGAAATTTGTATATTGCCAATATTAAATATACAACTGTAACATTTTGTACGCGATTAAAGAAACTAGGTTGACGATGGCGATCCCGGAAGAAAAACCAGCAATTTTTGAAGGGTGTAATGGGTGATTATTTAAGTGGGTAAGGTCACAAGGGGAGCAGTTTGAATTTTTGCTAAGGCGCCATTGTGTTAGGTAGGATATTTTTTGTTAATAATTAAATGGCTACACAGTCTTTGGATACACGTGTGTATTTATTAATTACGCTTGCATGTGTTCAGTCGGGGAGCATATTTTTACACATTTAAATAAAATTGAAAGAAAACAGTAATAATAGCAAATAAAAAAATTGATACACGAAAAGAAATAATAAAAAACAAACAATAAATAGTGAAAATCGTATTGAAAAAATAAAAATATCTTTAAAAAAATTATCGATTTCTTCTTTCGCCGTTTTGCCTCGCAAGTTGAATTATAATTGCCGAAGAAAAACACGTCTTTTCTTTGAAGAGCTCAACAAAAAAAGAAAAAAAAACACCTCTAAAAAACAACAAAAAAAAAAAGACCACGAACAAAAACGACCGTCAACCCGGCAAACGCATGCGCATTTAACACCAAAGTATGCCATTCCCGCTACTCAGTTGCTTTTCCCTGAAAACCTCAAACGAGCCGCCATTTTCCTCTATATGTTTTCTCGTCTTTCCTTTGATAGCATAAAAACGACCGACAGATTTTCATAAAAGCGGCGAAAGATAGCATTCTTGAAAGTGGAAAAAAGAAGCTCCTGCTTCAAATAGATTTATACCAGCTAAACGTTTTGATTTCTATGCTATTCATAGTGGTATTCGCATTAATTTAGTTCATTCATTTCATGAAATAATCATTTGTTGTATTATTTGCGATGGACAGTAACTTTAGTCATTGCAAATGATGGAAATTTCCGTCAGTAGCACAAGAGTCGACAACGTTTTGGAGACAGCGAGCCAGAAAGCTAAGCAGTGTCTCGGAGAAGGGCTATGATATCAAATCACATGATATAATACCGACCTCAGACCCCTCCGTCAAGAAGAGAGCCTTGGTCTCTGTAGCTTAAAGAAAAACAACCAAGTTAATGTTATATTTTTAAACAGGGTTCCTTATTTTACTGCAGGAGTAAATGGATAACAACGAACATGATCAAAAATGCAAATTCCTTACTACAAATGAAATACACTTAGAAATGGCAAATTATTTAATGAGACACTTGATTCTGATTATTGTTCAATAACCTCTCCATATCAGGCAAAACATTTATCGATGATAGGAACAAAACATCATCCAGGTAGTCATCACCCAACCTTGTTCTTAAACGAATTTCATTTTCGAAAAAAAAGTTGTTTACAAGTATATATACTTTGCTTTCATCTCTAAAGACTCCAGCAGGGGTCAGCAAACTTTTTGGAAAGAGCGGGCTATACGACTATACAGTGTCTTGGAGGAGGGTCCTGATGTCAAAAATACTATGATAAATTGTTTCGACCTATGGCTGCTCTGTCCTGAAGGCTGCCTTTGTATCGGGGTTTAAATAAAAATAAAAAAAAACCCCAAAGTTAATGTTATATTATTTAAAAAGAGTCCCTTATTTTACTGCAGGAATAACAGGATAACAGCTAACACAAACAGCAAAAAATACAAATTCTTTATTACAAACGAAATACAGTTAAAAATGGCGAATGAGATACATGTTCGATAACATTCCTCATAAAATAAAATGTTTGTCAATGACAAGAACAAAACGTTATCTAGATGGTTATCACCTAACCTTGTTCATAAACAACTTTTAATATATTTCATTCTCTAAAAAGTTTTTTTTCACAAGCATATATGCTTCCAAATAATGATACCCTCATTTTAGCATTGTCCAATTCCGCTCGGTAAAACATATTTCTTGTAGATTCGGAATTAAATTTTAATTTTTTAAAATCATCACATTGTTAGTCGATTAACTTCAACAGATTTTTTTCTACCACTTGTTCTACAAAAAAAACAAACTGGATAATTAGTGTCCAGGTGTTAAGCTGGCGGGTCGGACAAAAATCCTTAGCGGGGCCGGATGTGACCCGTGGGTCGGGGGTTGCCCACCACTGAAATAGACTAAGGTCTTTGCCTCCAGAGAAATAAAAATATGCTTCGCCATATAACCACTAACTCAACTCGAAACGCTTGAACTCCCCTGAGGAGTATAGGATCGGAGCACTCAATACCCTTGGCGTTGCGGCTTTGATCCCCAAAGCAAGTTTTCACGTGACGGGGTTTATGGCCTCAATCCCAAACGGTTTTGAATTCAGGGACTTTCTTTTTCTAGATTAAAAGGTTGAGAGACGTCCCTTACATACTGGTGTTATGGAGTGATTTCACAGTGGAGGCTTGTATTTGTACTGTCGGTCCTAAAATAGGTTCGACGTACAAAACGTTAGGAACTTGATATAATAGGTATAACGCAGAGAAATCTAGTTGTGGTCGGTGATACTTTAATATCCGACTAACGGTCGTCCGGCATCGACTGACTGAGCGACGATATTCAGACCCCCCCCCCACGAGGGCGTCATGTGGCACAAGGCCGGTTTAACGTGAGATCTCCGAGCCAGTGAGCTCAGCCAAAAATATGCCCATTGAACCCGTATAAACGGGTTCAGGGTCGGTTTACCTCCCCGAAAAAGAATCCGCCTTTCGGTTTCGACATATGAGGATCTGACAGCTTACTTGATTCAGTTATGAAAGTTTATGCGCTAATCTGAAGTGGCATTTAAGACCCGCTAGTGATTTACAAAGGAGGCCACTTATGGAGCAAGTGTGAGGATTGTGAGATGAGATCACTGTTAGATTGGTTGACCTTTTAGATCTTGCTCTCGCTTCTTGAAGATGACGCAGGCATTCAGATTGAAAACTGCTGAGTCCACTAAAACACGTTGATCTCCATTCTACCCGCTCCAAAGCTAAGCGCTCAAGGGTGTTATGTGGTATATTGACAGCTGACAAGTTGTTTTTCAGATTGTCTTTGTATCTTGGGCGTCCTACATTCCTGTAGCCCTGATCTAACTGGCTGTACATTAGGATCTTGGGTATCCTGTCATCAGCCATTCTCAAGACATGACCAGTCCGCCGTAACTGAGACTGTATGATAAAAGTCTCGATTCTTCCAATATTACACCTTTTAAACAAGTCTACGTTAGATGTCTACGTTATATATATATATATATATATATATATATATATATATGTATATATACCTGAGTAATACCAAAATTGTTCAAATTGTAAAAGCAAAAATGTCCATTTGCTAAAGTAAGCTTTGAACCGTTGTATCTTAGAAATGATTGAAGATATCTTACCGGAATTCTCCGAGGATTTCATAACACTACTGGAATCTACTTTGATCAATAAGAATGTATAATTACTATCTAAGCTTAACAGATGCATCCTGATGAAATTGATCATAAACTGAAAATAACATGTTGGTCATTAATTAATCATAGCTGAGGATCGAAGATCATGAGGGAGTGAAATATAGATTATATATATATATATATATATATATATATATATATATTGTTCCAGGATTATTTTCCTACTTATTGAAGATGATCTTCGCCCTCTAAATTTCTAGCTTTCTGTCCTGAGATGACCAGTCCAACGTAACTGAGACTGTATGATATATATATATATATATATATATATATATATATTATAAAGAATCATTCATACAAAAAGTAGATTAGTAAAGTTAATGATATAAAATGGTGAAATCCCTTCGCTAACAAAATTTTTAAATCCTTAAGTTTACGAATTTTCCAATAGTGTTCTTTGTTTGTGATCTCAACCTGATCCCACAGAGGGCGGTGGTCTCCCTTTTCTCCCCATATGTGGTCAGCCATGACTGATTTTTCTACTTCCCCTCGCGTTACAGCTTTCTGGTGTTCTTGAAGCCCTTCCCTTAAGAGGGCGACCTGTCTCCCCTTTATATTTATTTCCGCAGCTTAAGGAATCAGCACATATGCTAGGCCACAAAAATCTCCTGAGCCGACCAAGCATAGAAATGAATGCAATATGGGAACCAGTAGTAAGGAGTGCCAAAGGAAAGCGATAATAACAACAAAAATTGCAATATGATCTCTGGTATAAAACATGGAATAATAACAGCAAAAATTGCAATATAATATAATACTGGTAAAAATGGTTGCTGAAGATATTAGGTTTATAATACCCAGAAATTCATACACAGATGTCCTCAAGGATATATGAGACAGTGGATAAAAGCGTTGGTTAGATCCAGTGACAATACTTGGTTAAGTCAGTGGAGAACTTGGAGTGGTAAATTAACAGAAAATAACTGATAACTGACATCCATTAAACATGGCATGTGGAACGGTCTACCCCAGTGAGAGAAAAAAACGGGTTAAGTTCGATATTCCAACCACCTGAAGAAAGCGTTGTAATAAATATGGCGACAAAGATGACGACAATAGTCCGAATAATGTAAATAGTGTACATAATAACTCATCTCAGAAATATAGACAGATCACTAATTATGTTATGCATTGATTTCCTCTGTCCCATTTGCCTGTGAGTATCAGATTTTCCAAGCCTTCTTTCCTTATTATGTCCCCTATAAATTTCAATTGTCTCTTCTTGATGTTGAGTATTAGTTTCCTTTTTGTTTACATTTTCATAAGAAGATCTTAGTGCTCTGACTATCATGCATGAGGACAGATATCACGTACCATTTTAGTACACTTTTCCTTGTTTCTAGCGAGGTGTTTTCTATTATTTAATACTCTGCTTAGCTTTTGGAAAGCATCTTTGGCCGTCCTTCGGATTTCAGTGCCACGCATTACGTCCTCTGTTAAAACAATTCCTAGATATTTAAATGTTTGCACTTTGATTTTAGTATCCCCGATTTGCACTTAATAATTTGAGTTCATGATTTTGCTTTCAACTATGGATTCTGTTATCTTGCAGTTGATGTTTAGTCCTTTCTTCTCGCATTCCTTCACTGCCTTCTGTAGGAGATTTTCTAGTTTTCTTTCTGTATCTGCTATCAACACTGTGTGATTTGCGTATCTTATATTTTAATTATGATTGTGACCGCCAATAAAGAACCTTTGTAGCATTTCTTATTCTCTCAGAATCGGCTCACTGTCTGCATTACTTAACCGTAAAAAATTCTTTTTTTTTCCCGTACAATTCAGAAGCAAGTGTAATTCTTTTTAAGAATATCGAGGTATCTTGTTTTTTAACGCACCACCATTATTCTTCAAAACATGGTTCCTTTTGATGTTAAAACGCATGCATACCGTTATCTAAACAAGAAAGCGACGAACAGAAAAATAAATTTAAATTTGCTTTGTTGTGTTGGGAATATAGAACAATATGCGAATCACTCATTCCTACTTTTGATAATGTAAAAACTATTTTAAATCATTTACCGCCTCAAGGTTAATTAGATATATAAGATCACTCAGTGAAGCAATTCCTGACCAAAGAGCATACCTTTAATCATAGTTTTCAAAGCATTTCTCTTATTAAATCATTGGCAATTTATATTATACGTCTCATAGCCCTATTCTATCAGTAATGTTTTATTTTAATATCAGGTCACTGGCCCGTCCTGTGTATGACGATAAACTATGTCCGCGTCCTGGGTAAGATGATAAACTACAGCAAGCAATCAAGAGGTTTTGTGGAGCTTAGAACCACCTTTTAATTGCTGGTGTTCCCAGGTTCACCCTGACCCGAAGTGGTAGCACCTGTTAGGGTCCCAGCTATGGGCAATCCCGAAACTGGACTAAAAAAGTGTAAAAATAGGTTTTAATACCAGATATACTTTTTAAAAAATATTACCAGCAATTCACTTTTGAAGGAAAAATATTACCAGAAATAGATTTCTGACAAAATAAAATATTACCAGCAATAAAAAAAATTGTCGGCATTAAATAACCCATTGAGTTTGATATGCCGTAAAACAAAATAAACTAAACCAATCTAAACCAAAGAATACATATTCTATTCATACGAATCTATCCTAAATATTGTCGGTATTAAATAACCCATTGAGTTTGATATGCCGTTAAACAAAATAAACCAAACCAAATTTGGCCTCTCGCAATCTCTTTCTTCTTAATATTCATAGTATTTCAATAGTAAAATCATTATTAATGTTTCTGCATTATATATAATAGAAGTAGAATAGAAGAGATTGCTTATCTTAAGTTTCACACACATCCCCCAATCTTTTCAACAGGTTTAAAAATTATTTCTTATTTAGGACAAGGTTTCTAGTTTCTTTTAAATTCTACTTCAATTCTATGCTTCTAAAGTTTCTGCCTGAATTCTGAATTCTTTTTCACTAATTAATTTTTTCTCATCTACCATTAATAGGTTGGCCTATTGCCCTGTTCACACTCCTCCCCGCGCTTTTGAACAGAAGTAGAGTTTCATCCTTTGGATATCCATTTCCTACTAAAGTCGACGTCAGCTCTATACGCCTTTATTACAACGTTTCGGCCGTTGTACGCTCCGGCCTTCTTCAGGTGGTTGGAATGTCGAACTAAAACCTATATTTCGCTCAAAGGGGTAGACTGTTCTAGTTCCACGTGCCATGGATATCAGTTATCAGTTATCTCCTGTTAATTCCACACTGAAAGTTCTCCACTGCCTTAACCGGGTATTGAACTCACACATTTTGGGTCCTGTCACTTCCACTGTGCCGTGTGTCATTGAGTTGCCCTTGGGGCTTATATTGGGGGATATATATATATATATATATATATATATATATATATATATATATGTGTGTGTGTGTGTGTGTGTGTGTGTGTGTGTGTGCGTGTGTGTATTCTGTTGTATGTATATTAGTTTGTAACCCTGGGCTTCCCTCTTGCGATCATCAGACAAAATGATTTTTTTTTAATGGATCTATTCATGGTCATTTGTGTTTGATTATTTGCATGTCGTTTTCGGGTGCAATGCAGGCGTATGCATTTTAATTCATACAAACACACCCATATAAACAATGCGAGATTAAATGCAGATACACATCCATATATATATATATATATATATATATATATATATATATATATATATATATATATATATATATATATGTAACAGCGTCATCCAAACAAACGCCGAAGAAAATTACTTGTCTGATGATCGCAAAGCATGAAACTGTATATGTTAGTTCTATCACTGATATTGAGCACTTTTCACTAAGTACCGCCATATATATATATATATATATATATATATATATATATATATATATATATATATATATATATATATATATATATATATATATATATATATATATATATATATAGTTGATTGATGTTAGCTCTATCACTGATATTGAGCGCTTTTTTCAATAAATACTATATATATATATATATATATATATATATATATATATATATATATATATATATAGTTGGATTTATGTTATTATCACTGATATTGAGCGCTTTTCAATAATTATTGCATATATATATATATATATATATATATATATATAAATTGGATTTATGTTAGCTCTATCACTTTTGTTTTCATGATTCTTTCTTTCTTTTTTAATTCTTTTTTCTTTCTTTTATTTTCTATATTTATTTATTTATCACCACTTTATTCAAAGATTTTCGTTTCATTTCTTTCTTTCTGTCTTAACGCTTTGTTTTCATATTTATTTATTTTTTTTTTCTTTCTTTCCCTCTTTTTTTTTTCTTTCTTTCCCTCTTTTTTTTTTCTTTCTTTCCCTCTTTTTTTTTCTTTCTTTCCCTCTTTTTTTTAAGGTTTTCCCTTTTTTTTTTTTTTTTCTTTCATTTTCTTTTTTTTCTTTCTTTCCCTCTTTTTTTTTCTTTCTTCCATTTTCTGTGTCTATTCCTTCGTTATCACAAGTTTATGTAAGGTTTTTCTTTCTTTCTTTCTTTTTTTTTCTTTCTTCCATTTTCTGTGTCTATTCCTTCGTTATCACAAGTTTATGTAAGGTTTTTCTTTCTTTCTTTTTTTTTCTTTCTTCCATTTTCTGTGTCTATTCCTTCGTTATCACAAGTTTATGTAAGGTTTTTCTTTCTTTCTTTCTTTTTTTTTCTTTCTTCCATTTTCTGTGTCTATTCCTTCGTTATCACAAGTTTATGTAAGGTTTTTCTTTCTTTCTTTCTTTTTTTTTCTTTCTTCCATTTTCTGTGTCTATTCTTCGTTATCACAAGTTTATGTAAGGTTTTCTTTCTTTCTTTTTTTTTTTTTTCTTTCCATTTTCTGTGTCTATTCCTTCGTTATCACAAGTTTATGTAAGGTTTTTCTTTCTTTCTTTTTTTTTTTTTTCTTCCATTTTCTGTGTCTATTCCTTCGTTATCACAAGTTTATGTAAGGTTTTTCTTTCTTTCTTTCTTTCTTCATGCTTTCTTTTCATACTTCTTTTTTTTTTTTCTTCGCCTCTTTTTTCTTTCTTTCATGTTCGTTTTTGTTTGTTTGTTTGTTTCTTTCTTTTTTTATCACACACTTTTCCAATGCTTTTTCTTTCTAAGACTTTTTAGTTTATTTTTACATAAAACAAACACAACATTAAAGCAATTTTAATATTTTTATACTACAAAATAATTGAAAACAGGATTGCTATTTAAAATTTCAACCATAATTTGTAGAATTCAGCAATTTGTAAATAGGCTTCCAGATTGGACACCAGTTGCACGATGAGTTGGATTTTAGTATAGGATGCCATGCTTTCTACTTAAATTTTTATTCCTTTCTTGTTTGTGTTACTAATTTTATTCGCCATTTTATATTTATAAAATCTTATAAAATCAGGAAGCCATGAGAGTATAATTGATACAAATTTGATTACCTTGGCATAAAAAAAGTACCGGTAGAATTGGGGCTAGCCCAGGTTCAAAGACATGCATCATGTTTTGGTTAAATAGTTGACTTGTTGCCAAGGTAACTAGAATTTCGTCAGATTCTACGCAGCAGGGATTTTCCACGGTTTCTTTCATATTGGCAGCTTTGCATGCAATAACATTCCCAAAGACAAGAAAATTCGATCTTTTCATCTCTCTCTGTTTCCTCTCATGAGTACTCTTTCAAAATCATTCTGACTCTTTATTCTCTCTCTCTTGCTTGTAATGACCACTCTTTCAAAATCATTTACTCTTTATTGTGTCTCTCTTTTTCTACCGATGACCACTCTTTCAAAATCGTTCTTATTCTTTCTTTCTTTCTTTCTTTCTTCTTTTTGATGACTATTCTCTCATATCATTCTTATTCTTTCTCTTTTTCTTCCAATGGCCACCCAAAGAAGGAAAGACAGACAGAAAGAAAGAAAAAATCGAAAAAATAAAAAGAAAGAGAGAAAGAGATGTCTCAAATACACGAAAAGAGAGAGAAAGGCTGAAAAAGTGGTGAGAGAGAAAGAAAGAAAAAAAAGAATAAAAGAAAAGAAAGAAAGAAAGAAAGAAAGAAAAAGAATAAAAGAAAAGAAAGAAAGAAAGAAAGAAAGAGAGAAAAGATAATGTGAAACAGAAACGAAAGAAAGAAAGAAAGCAAGAAAGAAAGAAAGAAAGAAAAAATAAAGAAAGAAATAAAGAAAGAAAGAAAGAAAGAGAGAAAAGGCAATATGAAACAGAAACATTTAGAAAGAAAGAAAGAAAGAAAGAAAGAAAAAATAAAGAAAGAAATAAAGAAAGAAAGAAAGAAAGAAAGAAAGAGAGAAAAGGCAATGTGAAACAGAAACGAAAGAAAGAAAGAAAGAAAAGGCAATGTGAAACAGAAACGAAAGAAAGAAAGAAAAAAAGAAAAAAGAAAGGAAGAAAGAAAGAAAGAAAGAAAAAAGAAAGACAGAAAGAAAAAAAAAACAGATTTAAAAGGTATAAGGACACAAAAAAAAGAAAGAAAGAACAAGCCGAAAAGGTAGCGTGGGTCAGAAAAGACTGAATACACGGAGAGAGAGAGAGAGAGAGAGAGAGAGAGAGAGAGAGAGAGAGAGAGACTGTGAAAGCAGAGAGAGAGAAAGAGCAAGAAACAAAAAAGAGGGTAAAAGAAGAAAGTTGGCCTTAAGAGGAGAGTTAAGTAAAAGATAAAAACAAAATATGATCTTAATTCGAATGCATCTTGAAGTGTCAGAACGAATGTCAATATCTGCCCCCACCCCACGAAGCAATCTTTTTTTTTTTTACATTTGACTTATGAATCTGATGTTTGGTTCGAAAACATCGTGACCCCCACACTATATGTGATCAGACTCGTCCCCGCTGGCCATTGTTCCCATTAGAGTTATATTTACCCTGCCACTCGTTGCGGTGAGCTGGTTTTCTGGCGTGGCAAAGGGCTCCAAGAAAGGATCTAGCAGTCTGAGAATCGACATACATTAGCCGCCCACCCACCTACACAAGTCAAAAAAACAAAAACCAAAAAAAAAGACAACGAACCCCCCCCCCACCAAAAAAAACAAAAAACGCTTAGGTTCGTTCGTAAGAGAAGTGGCAACAAAAACTATAGAGATGGGCAAAAATAAAAGAATATATATATATATATATATATATATATATATATATATATATATATATATATATATATATGTGTTTTAGCTTTTATGACGTTGAATCAAAGTAGGTAAGGATTAATCCGTTTTAGAAAAAGGCAAAAATAAAAATAGAGGAATGTAGGGAATTATTTGTTTTGATCGAACTCACCCCAAGGAAGGCAAAAAAGCCACCAAGACGCAGAATGTCAGAGAGTATGTGAAAAAAAATACTATTAAGGAGAGAGAATAATAAAAGAACAAGGATTAACGAATTATAATGTGGATATAAAGTGAGGGAACAGTTCTATATCACAATTACTATATAAACTGATCCCGCTCTTTATGGTCACGCTATTTTCTATACATCGAGGCTGTAAACAAATATAAAAGTAAAAGAAAGAAAGAAACAATAGAAATCTTTTGACAAGACCTTTTTTTTTTGAGTAATACAAAAATGTGCCACAAGGCTAAAAGCAGGGGGCATAGTAAAAGGTTTGTCTTCAATCTGTCTTATATTATATATATATATTTACAAATTCATGAATTATTCACACAAAACTAATGCAAAGGTTAATGATTTAATTGGCGAGAAATCCATCATCGCAAACAATTCAAATAATATACAAAACCCTCCGAATCCGTTATGAATGAAATGATCCTTGTTTATATAAATTTCTGCCGTATTAGTTCTTATTTTTACTACAAGCTTTCGTCTGTTCCTACAGACATCTTCAGGTATAGAATAGATGTTGTTCTTGTTTTTCTCTTAGTAATCAGAGAACATATATATATATATATATATATATATATATATATATATATATATAGAGAGAGAGAGAGAGAGAGAGAGAGAGTAATCTGGTAAAGTATTTGATTTCAACATCTGTCTATATTTCTAAAAATGATGTATTGTAACTATTTACGCTATTTGGAGTGTTACCCTCACCTTTACTGTCTTATTGACGACCTTTCGACCATCATACGCTCTGGCCTTCTTCAGGTAATATTTCTTTGTTTCTTACGAAATTTTCTTATTTCTTAATATTTTGCTTAATTGATTCGTCGAGTTGGTTATATGGAACCGGACATTTTATACTATTAGTTTCTTTTCTCGCGATTTTCGCTCGTAGAACTCTCTTCCGGTTCCATGCTGTCCAGCCAACGTTAATCTTAAAAAGAAAAAAGAAAAAAAGAAATATAATGTCAGTCACTGTTTACTATCCTCCTGATTACTCTTCTTTTTTTTTTTAGCTCCTTAGAAATGATCCTGTTTCTACCTCTTCCATTCCCAAAAGCCCTTAGTGTCTAGCGGATTTACTGCCTTGCTTGGGGTGGACCCGATTAAGATATAACCGTAATTCCCTATGCATATTACATTTTTTTTTCTAAAAAATAATAAGTAAAACTAGGGGTGCGTATTATACACAGCTATAAAAAAAATCTTTAAAAAAGTCGTTTTATAAGTCGATTTCAGTTGCGAAATGACTATTCACCACAAACATACGACAATTTGACACAAACATTCGGCGATTGTGACCCCATAACGATGTCAAATACAATTATATGTACCTAACAATACCTACAAATGTAAAATAAAATAAAAATTATTATAAAACTAAATTAGAATAACATTATTCTATGTTTAAAACTATTTTTAATAAGAGAAGGAAACGCTGGTCGTAATGAAATTGGAGAGATACAATTTATAGGGCTTGATTAACAAACAAGGGGTGCGTATTATTTAGATGAACACAACAATTTTTTCTTAGAAAAAACTAACACTTTCAAATAAACACTTTAATATAAACATTGTTTCAAATAAACAGATCGTCGACTCAAATATGGGTATCCACTAAAAATAACATTTCGAGTATTACAAATAATATTTGGACATTTCATAAATTAGTTACCATCCCGGACATTTATTTTGGAAAATTTAAATCGTACAATACATAACTTTAGCGTTTTTCACTTCACAGGTAAAAATTTAACTTTAGATGGACACAACAATTTTATCTAGGAAAAATGATGGAAACAAAAATTTTTGCCTTATGTGATAATGTTGAAAATATCCTGATGATATTGTGATAATGTCGAAAATACTCGGAATAAATGAATAGGTATCAACATGGCAATTTATTCTCTTCCTTGAATGAGGATACTGAAAACTTGTTCGTGAATATGAAACGATCCTATTGAAAATAAGTAGACAAAACTTTGTCTAAATTATTCAATGAGACATGTCTTAATGAAAACATGCTGCCAAAAAAAATCCTCAATATATATATATATATATATATATATATATATATATATATATATATATATATATATGTGTGTGTGTGTGTGTGTGTGTGTGTGTGTGTGTGTGTGTATAGGTATAATTTATTTGAAAATTATAACTAAAAATTAATCTAATAATAGTATTTTTATGGTTATTGAATTTATTCCTGTATACACCTATACTATGCTTTGTATGTATGCATATATATATATATATATATATATATATATATATATATATATATATATATATATGCATGTTTCATTAAAAACGACAGACAAAGTACTACGGTTGAGCTTTTATTTAATTTTTCTTGTGTTCTGACAAGAGCTTTCTTTTCTGGACAAAGGGTGTGTGAGAACTGTCCGAATGTTTTATATTTCCGAGCGCTTTCAGCTATACCTTTAGCCATTATCAAGGATTATCAGCTTAGTAAAAGTGTTCTGTGTATGTTCAATGTGTGGTAGTGATATATATATATATGTGGTAGTAATATATATATATATATATATATATATATATATATATATATATATATATAAAAGAAATATAGTTTTAAAATGTGCTATATTTATGGTGTAAAGTACTCAGTAACATAGACAGAGCGTATGTAAATATAGTTATAAAAAAGTGAACATAGAAGTCAAGACTTGAGGTGATAGTCTGTTTCATGTTAGATGCAATCGTCAGGTGGCCTGACGATTGCGTCGAGCATGAAACAGCCTGATGCCTCT